CCAGTGAGTTTCATGGCTGAGCAGGGATTTAAAGCCTGTTCTCCAGAGTCATAGTGCAACGCTCAAACCACTATACTATATTGACTATCATACTATTGTGTACCCAAACCCAACATATGTGGGTGTCACTGTGGCATTGCTGTGTCTGGAGTCCTGAATGAATTGGGCCTTAAATTTCAGCTGAATTGAGATTCCCTTTTGCACATTGGATTAGCACCTTTGTTTGCTTTTGCTTGTTGGCTACAAAGCCTTTCCAGCTATGTGTTAAAAGCAAAGAAGGATTTTCCTCCCTTTCAACATTTTGTAGAATGAGCATGATTTTCAGTACAGAAACTTGGATGTTTCCACAGTGGCACTGGCAGGGATTTTGTGCCTGCTTTCCATTTCAGTTCATTTTGCTTTTATTTTTAGCCCTTTTATAAAATTACACACACTTCCCCTGCAATTGGAAATGAGGTGCCTGCTACTTAATTCAATCACTTGTTAATATGATGCACACTTTAATGGAATCCAAACTTCTGGAGAAAAAAAATATTTTCCTTTTTTTCCTGGAGATTTATTTTCTCATTCTCTCTCTATCTTATAAAAGGGAAATACTATGGGGAAAAAAAGCTTTTCTTGTTAATGATTTCTGCATGAACTTAATGGGAACAGCAATAATTCAGATCCTGTTTGGTGGACTTGAGCATCATTCTAGCAGAGCTTCCGGCTACTGAGACTGGGCAGAAGAGTACCTTCAAGGAAGGGCCCACTAGATAGAAAACAATTGAGCAGAAGAATTTGGCTATGAAAATGCAGGATAGCAAGAAGGAAAAGAAAGGGCTGCTGCTGCAGGGTAACGAAACTTTAAATTGTATAAAGTTTAGGTCTAGGGGTCTTATTCAATTCTAGTCCAGAATCCAGAATCTCCCTTCCTGCACATGCATGCACACACACACACACAGACAGACAGACAGACAGACAGACAGACAGACAGAGAGACACACACACTTGAATGTGGAGCAATTTGGAAAAGACATCAAAGGCTTTAGGTAGCCCTTTCCCAAGATAAAGGCTGGACTTTCACATCTTCACAAAAATAGTTTGGCCACTAGGGATACAAGATCAAGTTTGATTTAAAAAACAACAACACCAATTCAGTGCTGGGTCACCTCTCCTTTGTTTGGGTGGTGGTAGTGGTGTACCTTTAAGTAGTTCCTGACTTATGTCAAACCTAAGATGATGCCATCATGGTGTTTTATTGGCAAGTTTCTTCACAAGGAAGGTTTGCCATTGCCATCCTCTGAGGCTGAGATAGTGTGACTTGCCCAAGGTTACCCAGTGGGTCAAGCAGGGATTTGAACCCTGGTCTCCAGTCATAGTCCAGTGCTCAAACCACTACACTAGCCACACATGTGAGACCTAGGAGCTTATCACACACCCAGTTTTTGCCCAACCCATACATGGCATGGGGTTGGGCCTGAATGGGGAAAAATGGGTGTTATCACACAGGGAAAGGCCACCGTGCCATCAGCTGGCCACCATTCATCCCCGAGCCATGCTTATCCTGCCAATTTTGCAGAGATAGAAGGTTTCTGTCCTTCAAATTGGCCGTCTAAGTGCAACTATGGGATGGGTGGTGGTCAGTCGCTGGCATTGGTGGCCTTTTCCTATGCGATAACACCCATTTTTTCAGGCCTGATCCCATCCCATGCATGGATTGGGCTGAAAAGCATGTGCAATAAGCTCTATTCTCTTTACTCTTCATGAGAAGGAAAAATGCAGTATTTAACATCAAATGCCATAATCAAAATCCTATTGGTTAGTCCCAATTAGAGTAGAATCAATTGCTGAGTAATGATCAACACAAAAGTAGTAAATCCAAGTAATGGGTCTATTGTAATCAGAACTAACAATAGGATTTAGAACCCATGTACAAATAGAACTAGCTTTTGAAGCTCCACTGGTTTCTTAATCAGGCAAAAGATGTTTAAAAAATCATACAGGAGAAGAAAAGTGATGAGTCACAGGCCTATATTTTGTATCTGATGCTGTTTCTGTTGTAGTTCAGTTGGTTTGAAGGGATCTCAGGACCTTATCACACGCGGGCCA